GATTCTCCTGCCTCAGCCTCCCATGTTGGGGTCTCCATCTGCAGGGGTCTGTCCTGCAGACCCTGACTCAGTAACGGATGAATAAAGTACACTGACACACAGATATTATGCTTTGCCAGTTTGGCTGAGGATCTGGGCAGCTTACAGACTCCCTGGAGAGTGCTATAAACAGTTGCAACCTCTGGCCACCAACAGCCAGTGAGACGTGCATTTATTTAGTAAAGTTTAATTGACAAAGGCTTGAGTCAACACCGCTAGAGTGATGAGATTAAAGGACAGATTCCTATGCCCAAAGCAAACACCATTAGTGGATAATCTCCCTGGTTGACCTCCCCCTGAGAGGGCCATCCGGCTCAAAGGTTAGTTTTAAGACCACATGAGTAAACTAGTTAGGTAAACTCCCCCACATACCCTAGCTATTTTCTTTACTTATTAACTAAATGTAAAGGGGATTTAGGCTGGCTTTAGCCAAGAACTGTAGAAAAAACCCTTAGGCCTTCCCAAAAGAATTTGAGAATATATTCTATAACTTTCTCTAATATTCTTCCCTTAATATTTTTGCTACTACCCTAAGTGAATTCCCACACTCATAAGTAGCTGGGATTACAGGCACATGCCACCAAGCCCAGCTAATTTTTTTGTATTTTTAGTAGAGATGGGATTTCACCATGTTGGCCAGCATGGTCTTGATCTCTTGACCTTGTGACCCACCTGCCTCAGCCTCCCAAAGTGCTGGGATTACAGGTGTGAGCCACTACACCCAGCCATCATATATTTTAAAAAAAATTTTAAACACCTGTGGATATCTAGTTGCTTCAGTGCCATTTGTTGAAAGGCTATTTTTTGTCTACTGGATTGTCTTTGCACTGTTGCCAAAAATCAGTTGGGCATATGTGTGGGAGTCTATTTCTGGGTTCTCTCTTCTGTTCTGTTGATCCATGTGTCTCTCTCCACAAATACTCTGCAGTCTTGGTTACTATAGCTATGTAATAAGTCTTAACAGTGGGTGGACACAATTCCTCCTACATCATTCTTCTTTTTTAAAATTGTTTCAGCTATGCTCATTCCTTTGGTTTTTCATATAAATTTGGAAAAATATAATTTATGTATCCCCAAAATCTTGTTGAGATTTTGATAGGGATTGTGTTAAAGCTGTATACCACTTTGGGGAGAATTGCCATATTTACCATGCTGAGTTTCCCAGTGTGTGTCTCTCTAATTGTTCAGATATCCTTTGATTTCTTTTAGCATTGTGTATTTTCAGCCTACAACTTCTGTACATATTTTGTTAGTTTTTTTTTTTTTTGGAATGATTATAAATTATATTGAATTTGTCATTTCAGTGTTCATGTGTTGACTTTTGTCAAATTTTTTTCTGAATTGATATGATCATGTGATACTTTTCTTCTTTAGCCTGTTAATATGATGGAGTGTATTAATTTTTAATATTGAACCAGCCTTGTTTCCTTGCAACAAACTCCATTTGATCATGGTATATAATTCTTTCTTTTATATGTTACTATATTTTATTTGCTAAAATTTTGTTAAATATTTTTAATCTATATAAGGTATATTGCTCTGCAGTTTTTCCTTATGAAGTGATTTAGGAAGTGCTACCTATCTTCTCTTTTCTGAAAGAGATTGTGTACAATAGTGTTAATTTTTCATTAAATGATTGGTAGTATTCTCCATTGAAACTATCTGGGCCTGGAATTTTTTTTAGGACTTTGAAAATATTAATCCAATTTCCCTAATAGTTGTAGGAACATTCAGATTATCTCTTTCATATTGGATAAGTTGTAACTATTTGTGTTTTTCAAGGACTTGGTCCATTTTGTCTAAGTTATCAAATTTATATGTATAGAAGTATTCACAGTATTCACTTATTATCCTTTTGATTTCTGCAGTCTATAGAGATACCTACTGTTTAAATCCTGATGTTGGTAATTTGTGTCTTCTCTTGTTCTTTTGTCATTCTTACTTGAGGTTAGTTGATTGTTTACCTTTAAAACAACTAGGTCTTTGTTTCCTTCCTTTTCTTTATTTTTTCTATTTTTATTATCATTAATCTCATCTCTTTGTTTCTTCTGCTTGTGTTGTGATTACTTTGTTCTAGATTCTTGAAGTGGAAAGTTAGATTATTGATTTGAGATGTTCTGTTTCTTTCTAATGTTTGCATTTCCCTCTCTGTACATATTAGCTATATCCCTCACTGTTGATTTTTGATTTTTTCATTCAGTTCAGTGTATTTTTTGATTTCTCATGAGACTCTCTTCTTGATTCATGGGAATATATAGAAGTTTATTGTTTAGTTTCCAAGAGTTGGGAGATTTTTCTGTTATTTTATTTTATTTATTTAAATTCTATTGTACTCAGAGAAAGCTCTATATTATTTAAATTTTCAAAAATTTGTTGAGGTTTGTTTTGTGGTCCAAGATGTAGTCTGTCTTGATACATATTCTTTGGGCACTTGAATGGAATGTATATTTTTGTTGTTGTTGGATAGAATGTTCTAGAAATATCTACTAAATTTTGGTTGATGGTATGCTTGAGTTCTTCTATATATTTACTGATTTTCTGTGTTCTGTTAGTTGTTGAGAGATGGACTCTGAAATTTTCAGCTGTGCACTGTGTATTTGTCCATTTTTCTTTTCGGTCTCATCAGTTTTTGCTTCATGTATTTTGCAACTCAGTTTGGTGTATATGCATTTAGGATTGCTATTTCTTGGTGGATTATCTCTTTTACCATTTTATAGTGTCCCTGTCTGTCTCTGATGATTTTCTTTTATCTCAGATTTACTTTATTTGATATTCATATAGCCACTCCTGCTTTCTTTTGATTCACATTTCTATATTATTTTCCATCTTTATTTTCAGCCACTGATACTGTTATATTTGAAGTGAGTTTCTTATAGACATCATATAGTTGAATCATTTTTAAAATCCACTCTTCCAATTCCTGTCTTAAATTGATGTATTTGGACCACTTATATTTAATGTAATTGTTGATATTTTAATTGTATAATTTCATTTTTCATTTTTATTTGTTGTTGTTTTTTTGTTTGTTTTCTTTTTCTTGCCTTCCTGTGAAAAGTTTTGTTTTCACATCTGTGAGGTATTAGAGATCATATCCTTTTTTATTGTAATTGCAAATTAGTGAATAAAATTCACCAAATGTTCAATATTAAATATTCTTGATGTCTGTTAATCTACTTAGCCATCTATTCATTCATGCTTTCAAGAGATATTTATTGAGCCTCTACCTTGGGCCAAGCATTGTCATTTTCTTTATCTTTCAGATTATTATCTTCTTTCAGTTCTTTAGTAGTGTGGTGTATTTATTTCCTCTGGTTGTTGTAACAAATTTCCACAAACAATGTGGCTTAAAAATAATAGAAATTTATTCTCTCACAGTTCTAGACAACAGAAGTCTGAAGGGAAAATGTCAGCAGAGATCTAGAGGAGAATCCATTCTTGCGTATTCCAGCTTTTGGTGGTTGTCACCATTAGCTGACTTGTGGCTGTATTGCTCTAATTTCTGCATTTGTAGTCAAATGACCTTCTATTGTGTTTTATTCTCTGAGTTTCTCTTTTAAGGACATTTGCAATTAGATTTAGGGCCTAGCCAGTTTGGATTATCTAGGATTATCTAGAATAATCTCTTTATCTGAAGAGCCCTCTAAAAATTAAGACAACAATCATAGGTTCTAGAATTAAGATACAGACATTATCTTTTAGGGGGCCACCATTCAATTCACTACAAGTAGTATTTTTCTGTGCATCTTTAATTTTCCTTTTTTTGATCCTCTCTCCATTTGGCATGGGTTCTCTATTTCATACCCCTTTTCTATTCCTTTTTAATTTTGTCTCTTAAAGGATTCTCCTAGAGAGTGGTGACAACAGTGGAATGATTATGGTGTCCTATATTTCATAGCTTACCATGTTGCAACAGAAAAAGGCTTTCTTCATGGGAGGGCAGCTTCATTTAGAATCAGAATATGTTTCTTTTTAATAGAACTTATAAAACTCTGAAGTTCTACTATTTAAAACGTATTAAAGTCTTATGTATATATGCTTTAACTACAAATTCATTTGAAGAGATAAGTAAAAATTCTAATCAATAAGTAAATGTTATGGAATCAGCAATCAATATTTAAATTGGTATCAGTTAAGAATAGGTGGAATTTCCCTCTGAGGCGATGCCACGTTTATTAGCATCTTTTTGAGAGAGATAGATATGATATAGATGTGTGTGTGTATGTATGTTTCCAGTTCTTTCAGAACTTAGGCTACTTTGGTTATATTTGAAAAAAGTTATTTGCTGTTTGGGAAGTGGTTGTTTTGGAAGAATCTGAACACTTTTTTCAAGGTATTTAGGCTACTGGAGTATTGCTGAGATTATTTTGATAACTCTTTAGTGAATGTTATGTTAAAAAAGAATTATGTAAATATACCCTGCTGATCATGAAGAGTATGGAGTGTATCTTTAAGAAGTTTCTGGGATGGAGTTAAATCTAGTGCAATGAGTGATTTCACTATACTAAGAGAAAATTGTATGATTTTGCTGTAGTTGATTTTATTGGTGTCCCTGTTGCAACGATTATTAATGTTTTATCATAATAAAATGTTACCATTTATATATTTTTATAAAGCATGGCAAACTGACAGGTCACAGGAGAAAATGAGATAGAATTAAAAAATATGTATTTAATAATAGTCTCAAAACTTTTAGACTGAAGACATATAAAACGAGACAATCGTGTTTCAGCACGAGCATAATTAATATCTTCATGTATTTGTTAGAAGATTTGCTTAATGAAATTTCAGTTTTGGTTTTAGTTTTATATTTAAATGATGCATTTCTAGCTTAAAACTTAATCAGAAGTCTGAGTACCTATCATTCAAAGCAGTCATTTTTCTAATTAGTCCACACTTTTTATAACTGTGCAGAGGAATTTAGCTTGTAATTACAAATTTTAAATTTGTGTTTTCTTTGTAAGTGCTGGTCAAGATATCCAAGGAACAAGTGTGATTGCTAATCTCCCATTTTTGATGCGACAGAATCCCACTGAGACACTGCGGAGAGTCCTGCCGAAAGTCAGAGTAAGTTGGTATAAAATAAGATTGGAGTTTCCGTTTTTTCCCCAGCAGCATGTTGTCATTGTTGAAGAAAGACTTTGGAGCTTTAGTGGCGGATCTTTTGCATCTAAAAATTGAGTGGAGAAAGCATTATTATAGACATTTCTAATTATGATGAAAATATTTAGGGAAATTAGTTGATGGAAATGGAGAAATCCAGCTCTTAAGTTGTAAAATTTCTTCAGTCCTTTCCTCAGTAAAGACATTTTACTAAAGGTAGTTTTCAGTAGGTCAAAAACACCTCTTAACTATTCTTAAAAAAAAGTATTTAATATTCTGTTGACTTAAATCTATATTAATAGTATTTGTATAACGATATTATAATTGAGCTGATATTCCTGATATTGACCCTATGATGACTTCTGAAGAATCATCAAATAAAGGTTGAATTATGGCCATCACAATTTTAGATGTGTATGTAATTTATTGCTTTATAAATTTCTTCAGAATTAGTTTTTCTGCTATGAACAAAAGTGTTTGATTTTGATCTGCTATTATTTCTTGTGACTCTTTAATATTTATTGATTATTAATATAAAATTAAAGAATTTCAACTATTAAATTTTTAATACTTGTTTGTACTTATGTGCAAAGTGCTTTTCTTTATAAGAACTTGAATAAACAAAACACCAGTGTGTGTGTCCTTTAAGACTTTACCTGCTAATGGGGTCATTGAGGTTACATACTAATGAGGATTATGTTTGCTAATAGAGTTTGGTTGATTTTACCTTTGTTTTTTTAATTTGGATATAGCTCTTTTCATAATTTTTAACTAATTTATATGTGTTTAAAATACTGAAGTTATTAGTGAATTCTTGAGTTTTATTTTTAGGTATGTGTAGCATGGTTCTAGTTACTGTGATTTAGATCAGGATGTACCATGTTATTTTCATGAGATGCCCACATTTCTATGCAGGCATTATGAATGTTTTTACTGATTACAAAGGTGAATTAAGATGATAGTTATTTTGGCATTGCATGTGATTTGAAAGTAAATCAAGCCTTTTTGAATCTGTTTTTCCCAAAATTATGACATAATTTCAAAGTAATTAGGTACACACAGACCAGGCTTATTCACATTCATTTTCAGTGACACTAAGTGACCTACTCTTGTCAGCATGACAGCCGGAAGAGCCAGTTAAACAGTAGCAGAAAGGAACAGATATTTAGGTCCTCTTTGGTACAGAGTTAATGTAAGTAAGTAAGCAAATGAGATTTAAAGCTAAAAATATTGCATGGTGCACACTCTGCATTGAGCAGTTGAAATCTGGTCTACAGAGAGCATATTAGATGTCCAAAGTTTCATGATGAAAGAGAGCAGTGAACTTTAGAGGTCTCTAAATTACTTTGCAAAAATCCTTTTGCTGAGCTCACAATAAAGGAAATTAAGTAACAGCTCCCCTAAAACCTTAATTTCATGGGACTGTATAAAGAATACTATACATATAATATACATATTATAAATATATAGCATATTTATACAAAGAATCAAATGTATCTTCTGAAACTATAAGATATTTGCCTGAGTTATAGAAGATATGGTTTTAATAAGCTTTAAAAGTAATGAAAATTAATCCATAATACAGAGTATATTAACAGAATAAATAGATACAAAGGAAGTATATACTAATGAATATGTACTTAGGAAACCTTTATTTATAGCTGAATGATTTCATTTATTTATTTTACTAATCAACATGAAACCATTTATTTAAGACCGCCGTCTTGACCTGTACTCCCTTTAAAAGAGATACCAAAAATGTAGAAGAGTCCAGATTAGATTGTATATTAGGAAGACCTAATGACCACAGAAAGCAGTGAGAGAATAAGTATAATAGAGTATTGTGGGTTTCTGACTTTATGTAAAAATGCTGAAGAATAAGGCAAATGAGAAGGGCTTTATGGGGGTAACGCCAATAATAATGACTTTTATTGATAATTTAATATGTAATGTAGACAGCTAAACATTTAATCACCCCCATTTCAAATGCTAAAATCTGTGTTTTTGTGCACGTCATTTTAAATTCGTTGTATTTAGATTTTGTTATGACTTATTGGTACTCCTTATCAGCACCTTTGTTAGTTCCACCTCACTGCTGTGTTTACTTTCCAGTGATGAAACGCTGACAAAATCTGGTGTTAACTATGTACCTTTGCTTGGCCATGATTTCTCATTTTTTTTTTTTTAAAGTGATCTTGAGCATTAGTAATAATGTCATTCTCATTCATTCATAAATATTTACTAAGTACTTCCTATAAGACAGGCACTGTTCTAACCACTGGGAAAATAGAAGTGAACAAAAGATAGGGGATTTGCCCTCAAGGAGGCTGCAGTCTAGATGGAGAAACGGACATTAAACAAGAAAATCCCTCCTCACCCAAGAAAGGTATAATCATCATTTGTGATAAGCCCTCTGAGTGTACAGAACAGGAGTTGATGAAATGAAGTAGTAAAGTAATGAGGGCATCTGCTGTGCATTGGGATGTCAAGGAATGCCTTTATGAGGAGCAGAAAATGGAAGGGATGGAAAGAAGCAGCCATTTTAGAGTCAGGACCAAGTAGAGTCAGGGCCAAGTAGGGTGAGTGATAAATAGCCCTAAGGTGAAAGAGCTGGGTGGGACTGAGAGAGACAGGTATGTTTGGGACCCAGTGGATAGGGTGGGGTGTGACTGAGAAGAGGTTCGAGAAATGATTGATGACAGAGCATGCAAGCATTGGATTTTATTAGGACAGTGAAAAGTCACTGAAGGCTTTAAAGCAGGCAGTGACTTAATTGTGTTTCTATTTCACAGTGATCATTATGGTTATTGTACGGAGAATAGATTGGAGTGGAATAGTTAGGAAGCTTCAGTACTGGTCCTCATAGCTAGTATGAGGCTAACTAATTAGGACAGTAGAGAGCAGTGGACATATCTGAGATACATGGATTAAGATAGAACATGCAGAACTTCATAATGGATTGGGTTTCAGAAGTGAGAGATGACTTCCAGATTTCTGGCTTGACCATACATATGGTTCTGCTGATTTTCAGTTACGGTTAATAGTCTGTTAAATTCATAAGGAAAAATAATTTGTATACTTGATAATACTGGTTTTTTATGAATGATTTACTTTTAGATAGTTTCAAGATATGAACAGTAAATATTTTATGCAAGAAGTTAATCAATACCAAGATTTTTACCATGTTTGTAACAGTATTGTGTGCCTTTAAGAACATCAGATAAAGTGATGGAGATCTTGGGCTTATGTATTATAAACTTTCATCAGTGATATTTTTGTTTTATTGCATTTGATTTTGTTCTTATAATAATGGATTAATTGAAAAGTGATTTTAAAAATAGGTTGCTGTTTTCACTGTTTTAGAGATAAAGGAATTTAATGCTTAAAAATAAAATGTCAGAAACAAAGTTAGTATTACAATTGAGCCAATCCATCAGACTGAGGTTGATGTCTAGAATAACTAATAAAAGAAGAAAAATAGAAACTAAGAAAAATAGAATTGAGCCAGTTCATAGTATTTCCCCAATTTGTTTTCTAAATTGTATCCATTGGTCGTGCAATTAGGTCATTCATCTCAAGGTTAAATTTAGCTAGGAATTTAGAAAGGAAATATTTTGACCTCCAATTTAAATTTCCTAAATGTGGAGACATTTTAAAATATAGTCATTACCATATATTCATGTTACACGATTTAATCCTAGGATATCTATTAAAAAAGAATTTTTCTCCTGTGGTCTTTATTCTTTTTTCACAGTATATTAAATTGAAATCTTAGATGTTTGTTAGACTTCAATATTTGATTTGAACTTCCAGTTACCTAGAAGTGAAAGAATTTCATTGTCAAGATAAATATCCAAAATGTTATACAATAGTCTTTTATAAAATTCAGAATAATAGTGATATAATTACACCATGTAACGAAGGTGATTCCTTTACAATCCAATGCAAAAAGACTCTCTACCTATTGAGTTATTTACTTAGTTGTTTTTACGCTTACATTTAGGCAACCATAATATAGGTCATAAAATTAATAGAAATTGAGCAATGCTAGGCACAGATAAAAATAACTGTAGCAAATATTTATTGAGGTCTTACTATGTGTCAGACACTGTATTCTGTCAGATATTCTACACATTTTAATCTGAATCCTCATAGCAGTTCTACAGTGATCATTTGACAGTGGAAAAAAAATCTTAGTTAAGCAATTTGCTAAAAGTCACAAAGCTTGCAAGTGGTATAATTAGGTTTAAACAGGAAGTCTGACTCCTGAGTCCTCACTCTTTTCTACTCATTAGCTGATCACGACTGTAACAGATATATAATGTGTAATTTAATGTCTCAAGCCTTAGTCATCTCCTGTCTGTACGACAGCAGCCTCCTCACTGAATTTGTTGCTTCCACTTTGCCTCCTAGAGCAAACTCACTCAGAGAGATCTTTTAAAAAGTGTCAATCATATCTTATCTCCCTCTTGCATGAAAATTACTTAAGTGGTATGATAGATAGAATAATGCCCCTTCCAAAGAGATATTGGGCCCTAATTCCTAGAAATTATAAGTGTTACCTTATTTGGAAAAAGGGTCTTTACAGATATAGTTAAGGATCTTGAGATTGGAAGATTATCTTGGATTATCGGGGTGGCAGTCTAAATGCCATCACATGTGTCCTTATAAGAAGGCAGAGGAGATTTGACACATACATGTAGAAGAAGGCAATGTCAAGATGGAGGTAGAGATTGGAGTAATGTGGCCACAAGCCAAGGAATGACAGCAACCACTGGAAGCTGAAAGAGGCAAAAAGTAGATTCTACCCCAGAGCCTCTAGATAGATTGTGGCCTTGCCAACACTTGGATTTTGACCAGGTGATACTGATTTTGAAATTCCGGCCTCCAGACCTGTGAGAGAAGAAATAGCTGGTGTTTTAAGCTGCTATTTAAGTTCGTGGTAATTTGTTACAGCAGTCGCA